GTAGTAGGTATTTATAGTAGGAATGTGGTAGGTATACATTACAGATGTAGTAGGTATTTATAGTAGGAATGTGGTTAAGAACTTTCTACAGATGTCTTGGTTGAAAGTTGATGTATTAATTTACTTTTTATTCCTTACGTTGTTATGGTGCTTTTAATCAATGTTGTGAAATAAATTGCTTTGCTTTCTATTTCACGAACTGTGTCAAACACACATTAAAAAATGTTCTTCTCGTGTGGTGTTCTTTATTTTGGAGGTATTAACCTCCCTAAATAATTTTTAGTTTTATTGTAAATACAGGAAGAAAAGAAACTTCAAAAAGTGTTCTATGCAAGTGTATTTCTACATGTGTATCATAGTATGTTTTTATATTGGCTCAGAAAGGTTACAAGTTTGAGGAAACGGTCACTTTTTTGAGATGATTATAATAATTTCTTAATAGGGTTTACATGTTTTACTGTTCGATGTTACTTGAAGACTTTCTATTTGTTATTATTATAGTGTGAGTAAGTCTCGTTACTTGTTCAAATTCAATACTTCAATAGTTTGTTTTGACAGTTTAAGAACTAAGGATTTAGCAATGTGTGTGTGTGTACGTATAACAAAACCTAAAATTAGCACTGTACCCGAGGAGATAACAGCAGCACTTGCATCAAGATAATTCATTGATACCAAATCTGATGCAAAGATCGGGTATGCACAAGCTTTTACGCCCGTTTGTCACAATGAAATGTTTGTATGTGAACAAGCACATTGAAATGACTTGAACTGCCATACTTCAAGGAACTGAATCCTGGGTATTGCAGATTTGAGTAATAATATGCATGTACACAGCACCTTATAGTGTAATGTCTATATGAACGTTTTTTGTTTTTGATCGTGACTCTAATTGGTTCAAAATTTTTCTTTCCCAACTTGAATTATTATGTACCAAAAATTAGTGAATTATTGAAGAATTTAAAGAGGTGTGCTCTTAGTCTTTCATTCAGAACACGCTGGTGATACTGTGATACGTTAACTGAAAATGTTTATTGAAAGTTTGTATGAAGTAATTAATATGAAAACTTTAATGCAGATGCTACAGTAAGTCAGACCAGTTGTCATGAGGATTTCGTATAGAACTCAAAAGACAATTAGTGAATTGATCAGTGATGAATAATGAAGAAAAATTTCCTTGAGTATAATTTATATATCTGAAAAATAGTCTTAATTCAATTATTAATGGTGTATTTTTAAACTGTGATATATCAAAGAAATCCATCATTCATGTTATTAACACTAGGCTGTTAGGAAGTAATACAACAGTATAGTTTTATCACGTAGATGATTACGCTGGATTTCTTTGATATTTTACAGCAACATAGAGGAAAATACAGACGTACTATATTAAAACCATAATGGGAACATCTTTTGGGAATGATAAGTTTATCCTGAACACGAACATTTTCTAGCTATGTCTAAATCCAGTATCCACTGTTTTAAATAACTATATACCTACTATAAATACCTACCACATACCTACTATAAATACCTACCACATACCTACTATAAATACCTACCACATACCTACTATAAATACCTACCACATACCTACTATAAATACCTACCACATACCTACTATAAATACCTACCAGTTTACAATTTGATGTCCAAGAAGATGATACGGTTTCTTTAGCCTCACAGTCGTGTTATCATCTTCATGGAATGAATAAAAAGTAAATTAATACATCAACTTTCAACCAAGACATCTGTAGAAAGTTCTTAACCAGTTTACAATTTGATGAATATAAAATCTGTTTGTTGTTCAGTTTTTCTTACAACACATTGTAACAATGTAACTGTGTTTCTTGTGTGGTTTCTTACAACACATTGTAACAATGTAAAATCTGTTTGTTGTTCAGTTTTTCTTACAGACCAACATTGTATTATAGTGGAATCTTGGCTATGAATATTACTAGAAAAAATTAAAACATATGAATGATAAATTAAAGTTTTTTGAAATGTGGAGAATATGAGATGTAATAAAATATTTTGTTTATTGTGTATTCACCTTGGAATGATTTCCCAAGTTAGGTATTAATCTTTAAAACCTTTGTCGTTGTGGAATTCTTTATTACCTGCACATAATTTGACAGTTTTTTAAAGTTGAAAAAGTAATCTGTTGAATTTTCAACAGGGAGAACTATTTGTTTACCTGCACGTGTCCTAAGTGTGAAAGTGAAGTTGATAACCCTGATATCACAAGTGAAGAGGAGATGAGTGAAGATGATGAACAAGCAAGTAATGAGACTGCCTAAGTAAATCAAATCTGACCATCATTTTTAATAAATAATGGTTAGGATTGATTAGAATTATCTCTAATGCTGAAGAGTACTGGTGGGAGTGATTTCCATGAAAATGATAACATGACTGTGAGGCTAAAGAAACTGTATCATCTTCTTGGTACACTGTAACAATATAAAATCTGTTTGTTGTTCAGTTTTTCTTACAACACATTGTAACAATGTAACTGTGTTTCTTGTGTGGTTTCTTACAACACATTGTAAAATCTGCTTGTTGTTCATTTTTTCTTACAATGCGTTGTAACAATGTAAATGTGTTTCTTGTGTGGTTTCTTACAACACATTGTAACAATGTAAAATCTGTTTGTTGTTCAGTTTTCTTACAACACATTGTAACAATGTAACTGTGTTTCTTGTGGGGTTTCTTACAACACATTGTAACTCTCATGATTCTCTCACAACACTTGTTGATAAACCACTCATTATAGAAAGTAGGAATGTTAGATATGACATTCATTCATTTATAACTCATGATTCTATTGCAACATTTGTCTTGGTACAAATTATCTGTACAATTATGAGTTGATTATATTATGCCGTAAAATGTTGTGTACAGACGCATTTCTGTTAAAGAAAATGTTAAGTCAAGATGTAATTTATTTTAAGGATCTATTTATGTAATGTTCACGTACAAATTTTTGTTATTTGTTCAATCTTTTCAGGTAACCACAGTTGTGTTCCAAATGCAGAAGCAACATTCCCATACAGTAACTTTGTGCTTGTTATGGAAGCTGTAAAAGACATAGAACCTGGAGAAGTAAGATTAAATGTTTCTCGTCGTTACCTTCTTTAAAGTTTCCACTTGTCCTGCAACTAAATAAGTTAACTCAAGATGTCTTAGCAGTTCCAGTTCACATGAAAATAAAACAGACAAGAAACATTCACCTCTGAAGTGGCTCAATTTAACAATCTTAATAATATTGGACTGTAGATGAAATAGTTGGTGAGACTGTTACTGTGTCACTAGTTCATAGTGATCATGTGTGTGTGTGTTTGGTGAAAGGAAATATCACAAGAGCAATCAGAGAGATTGCGTATTCCTGCCGCTACTTTTTTGAGATTGCATGAATTTATATTGGATAACGTAAAATTCACCTTCAAAAACTCAGAAAATCCTTCTCAGGTCCAGAATGATTAATGATTCGGACCAGTTTTGTAGTGTGATAAGGAGTCTCAATCTTAATGTGCTCATGAAATTTGGTACAACTCTGATCACACTTTTTCAGAGTGAAAACAAACCACAAAAATGCCCTATCTCCCCATTATAGAACATGCTTTAAAGTGATTTGGATCCAGACCAAATTTGGGGAGAATTGTCTCATACTAATTTTCTATCTTTTATCAAATTTTCCTGTACATTGGTTTATTAGTTTTCGAAATACGTGCGTGGAAACACAGACACACGTAGATTGCATTACCCTCACAGTGCAAGGATAAATATTATTTTTAAGAAATGTCTTTATAAGAATTGACTGTAGATGTAGTAGTTGGTGAAACTGTTACTACATCGGTAGTTCATAGGGCTCATCGGTGTGTACTGGAGTGTAAACGTCTTTAATGAAGTGTATCCAATGAAAACTAAATCTTTAAGTAATAAAGTTTTGCTGTTCTGAAAAGCTTTTGATGAATGAAAATATTACAAATCTCAAATTGAATCTTCTAATGATGTTCGTAGTTACAGTAATTAAAATTGTCTTATCCTTTATATAGATTGTTTCGATAAAAATTAACTGTGGTTATAGTAATTAAAATGATGTCATATCCTTTTTTATACATTATTAATTATTTCAATAATGTAAAGATTAACTTTATCATTATTAAAAGAAATAGTTTTTAAGTTTAAAAAAGGTGATGAATGAAAATATAAGTACAGTTAAGGGAATATGAGAAGTTAGCATGTTTGTGTTATCTATATGCTTAATTATTGTTGCTGAAATACAAATTAATAGATATTTATAATGTTTAGAGTAACTAGATAAATTGTTTGAAAACTACTGTAAATAACTATTAGATTTCGTTACTTAACCAAACGAGTTTTCTCTGCAATTCGATAATTGTCGTTAAACATATATTGATTTGTAGCCTCTGTAAACAAGTACAGAAGTAATAGATAATGATAATGTCAGGCCCACTGAGAGAGGGGGCAACTACCCTCCGGCCCGTGCATGCTCAAGGGCCCATAAAAAATGCCCCAACTTTAAACTCGACTTTTTAAAAATTTGCATACTTTTAAGCTAAGAATCCATAGACCAGAAAAACTGATGCAAAATTAAATAACAAGCCAAGTTCAAAATAGAAAATAGCCTAACTTTGGACTGAATAAAGGAATTTCCTTCAAACATAGTTATAGCAATAGAACATTCAAAAACTGATGTTAATGCTAATGCAACTGACAGTAAAAACAAAGATTTTCAAGTTAAAGTCAAAGACAAAAATTAGTTGATCATTAAAAACCTGTGTCCACGGAAAATTTCACAAAAAACATCGGCACTTTAAGCCGTAACTTAGTGGTATTAAGACTTAAAATATTGCTAAAATTACTAAAAGTCTAGAGCTTCCCTCTTGGTCTCCAATCAGGGGCTCAGCTCCTGGATCCTGCTCGGGTCGCGCCGCTGCTGTCGACGGCCCTGATAATGGTGTAAAATGTTTTAGAAATATTTGGAGTTTCTGTAAGTTTTAAGTATTGTTCTGAGTACACTTATTGTATTAGGTATCTTGTAATTTACTCTGAGGCCTATAGGTTATTATTGATCAGTATTTGTCATGCAGTTTCTTAAGCCTAATACTTGAAGTGTTGGAATAAGTCATGATAAAAAAATTTAGGAAGATTTGAAACTAACTGTCAAACTATTAGATATTTTTCAACAACAATTAAAATTTTAAGACAGTGTAGTTCATTCCATGAATTAATCCAGATATTTTCTTTGTAATGTTCTTGGAGAATACTTATGTGTGTTTTGGTATTTGTTTAAATCTCATTGTTTAGTGCTGTAACATGTAAGAAAATTCAAGTTTTACTTCAAGTACAAGGTTAGGTAATTTCATGCATATTTTATCATTGACATAGCAGTTTTGATAAAAGTATTACTGTTCATTTTAGGAAATTGTGGTATGTTATTTGGATGATTGTAACCGACATCGAAGTAGACACAGTCGAATAAAAATGTTGAGGTATGTAAAAGCTATTTTTTGAATGTTCATTTGTTGTTCAAACTATTTCTTACAAAACTAAACACTGTAAAAATGTAAAATTTCTTTATTTTTCAAGGGTTTCTTACAAACCCATACCCTACAATATAATGTAAAAGCTGTTTATTGTGTAGTTTTCTTAAAACACTAACTGTAACAATGTAAGATGTTTGTTGTATGATTTTCTTACAATACATTGTAACAATGTAAAATGTGTCTTTGTGTGGTTTTTCTTACAACACATTGTAACAATGTAAAATCTGTTTGTTGTTCAGTTTTCTTACAACACATTGTAACAATGTAACTGTGTTTCTTGTGGGGTTTCTTACAACGAAAGCAGGAATGTTAGATATGACATTCATTTATAACTCATGATTCTCTCACAACACTTGTTGATAAACCACTCGTTATAGAAAGTAGGAATGTTAGATATGACATTCATTTATATTATAACTCTCTCACAACACTTGTTGATAAACCACTCATTATAGAAAGTAGGAATGTT